AGTGGCTAGAAGGAAAGGGGAAAAAACTATTTCTCTACCTTCTTGAATGTAAAGAGCATGAGGTAGGTATTCCCTTGTGACCTTCAAGCCAAGTGTCACACCCCAATCCTGGGCATGGCAGTGCCCTAAAGGGCCTTAGCCCAAGGCACATGTATGCCAAACACAAATCCATAATCACATAGAATAATTGTAATAATAGCCTAGTAATAAATAAGCCAAAATTCAATTTAGTTACATGTCACAAGTATAAATGGCAACACCAACCATAACCAACTTAGAAAATATATACTAAATGAGACACAAACAACCCACATGACCAAATAATTCTAAATGAGTCTCCGCAAAGATGTATACACAAATTGACAAAACTAGCTAAAATGAAATAAATAAATAATATGTCCTAAAGGTCCATGCAACAGAGTCCCCACTGCGCCATGAGTCCACTCTAAGCCCTTCTCTCACTTGAAATTGTTAAACCACTAAGTCAGCTGATAGTTTAGTGAATAGAAGCTTGGATAGTAAATACAATTATGAAAACAGGATTACATTTCAAAATAAGATGTATATAACAGAAACTAGATTGACATTAGTTTTGATTAAAACAATCTGATTCAAAAACGAGGTTTTACAGTTTAATGGTTAAAAATATTCAACTACTCACCGGAAAACGGAATAATATAATTCTTGAACCAAATATATAAGTCCAACTAGTACTTTGAACCAAGTATGAAAAGTATACGTCACTACTAACTCAATAACCCAAGAAGAATCACCAAGGAATAGAAAAATCCTAAGAACCTAATCTCATTGCGTCATAACTCACATGCCTTTTTCTAGCTCCCAGCAATCCATTGTTAGACTATATAATTTCTTCCAACCTCTCTCACAGCATCCACACAACCACTGACAACAAAAATATACATACATTCCTTAATTACAATTATTAAATAAGTATAGAAATATTTACAACCCAAACCACACCGTAACAATTCTAATGCTACAACAACAACCACCTGTGGCACGCACCAAATCAAAACTCTTGGCCTAACACTACACTCACACTTGGACGCATTACAACATATAAGAGTTTTAGAAATCAAATTTTTTGATCCCTATAAGTGAAAATTTTGTTGCAAAAGATATTTAAGGACCAATTTTTATTGTCATAAGGATAATCGCTAAAAATCCATTCTGAAAAGTAAAAAAAAGACTTTTAGCGACAAAATTTTGAAAATGTCACTAATAAATACACTTTTAGGGACAATAATTTAGTCTAAAAAAAGGTTTATTTTTTAAGACCAAAAAATTGGTCCCAAAAATATAATAATTCATCACTAATGTTCAATTTTCGTTACTAAAAATATAATGATGACACTTTTCACAACAAAAATATTTGGCCCTTAAAAAATAATTTTGCCCCTAAATTTTAGGTCTTAAAACTTTAATTTTTTGTAGTGACACCAAAATACAAATCGATACATATAATAATATATATAGCTAACTAATAAAATTTGTTATTTATTTATCTCCCCCAAGCATTAATAGTTCAAGACTAATAAAATATCAATGCTCACCAAGAAAATTAACTAATAAATTTAAAACAATGATCCCTCAATATTATAGATTTATATATATATATATATATATATATGTATGTATATGTATTGGTAATGTAATGGCCCCGTTTGGTAGAGTTGTGGAAAAGTGATTATAGATTATGATTTATAGCTGTAAACATAAGTTGTTAACCTGTTTGGTGCAGCTGTAGGATTATGAATTTAAGCAGCAAAGCAGTGTTTGGTTAATAAGCTGTAAAATAACTTCTTATTGTGTAATTGTCCTTTTTTCCCTTATATGATATAAAAATGATTATTCTGTCATTTTTTTTTCAGTTTTAATTTAAAAAAATTATTTCACTAATAAAAGTTAATATAATTAGTATTGCAAAAATTATCATTTCATTACAAGTATCAATTAGTATAAACTTATTTATTTTTTCATTATAAATTAATTAGTGTCAATTAATGGCTTAATTAGCATCAATTAATACTAAAATTATTAATAGTAGCAATTAGTATAAAATTATTTCATTATAAATTAATTATTATTATTATTTCATTTTTTCATTTATTATTATTATTATTATTATTATTATTATTATTATTATTTTATCAAAAAAAAAACTAAAAACCTCCACACAAAAAAAAAACACTAAAAACCCTAGCTCCGACGACATGGCATCGCTAGGGTTTGAGATCGCCTCGCATGGCCGATCGTGATGGGGCACAGAGAGAGAACAACTATGTAAATCACGAATAGAGAGAGCTAAGGTTTTATCACACTGGCAGCTCCTTTTTCTTCTCTTCCTCCTCCTTCTCATCTCACCGCCAGCGTCGATCGCGAAGAGGGAGAGAGAGAGCTAGGGTTTGTCACGTTGTCGATCGCGAAGAGAGAGAGAGAGAGAGAGCTAGGGTTTTGTCACGCGATCGTCACCGTCTGGGTCTCCGGTTTAGATCGCGATGGTTAGGATTAGGGTCTCTGGTTCAGATCGCTTACTGTGAGCGATCGAAGAACACCGGAGAGAGAGAGAGAGAGAGAGAGGGAGAGAGAGAGCTTTGGTCGCCGAAAATCGCCCTAGTTCACCGGAAATCGCCTCTCCCGTTTGTGTGAGAGAGAAAGAATGAGTGTTCTTGGTTTATATACAAGGCACACTTATAATTACTGAAAATTTTGAAGGGCATTTAAGTCATTTTACGCCCCCCATTTTAGCTGCACGCATAAACTCAAATCAAGAAGCACCCCCGGAGCTGCTTACAAATTTAAGTTAAAAATGGCTTAATCAAAGCTATAATCTATCCGTTTAAGTTTTACCAAACGCACCAAAATAATTCAATTTAAGCTAAAAATTAATGTAAGTTGCTTTTAAGTGCTACTAAACAGGCACAATACATGAAAATAGACACATAACTAAAAACAAACATCCTACCCATCATCCAAATATTTCATAGCTGCCCAACACACGTACCTAATTCACCGATTTGACCCATCAACTATGCAGTGACTCATAAGAAGAAGAAAAGAGAGTGAGGGGATATTTAAAAAAAAAAAAAAAAGAAGAAAAAGAAGGGATTTACCTTGCCAATGGCCACCACAAAACTCAACAATTTTCAGCACTTTTTACCCAATAACCTAGACATCTCTCTCTCTCTCTCTCTCTCTCTCTCTCTCTCTCTCTCTCTCACTGATGCTAGGATGGTTGTGGGAAACAATATCATAAGAATTAGGGTTTTATTATCCTTTATTATAAGAAATTGGGTGCCCATGTGACATGTGGCATGACCCATGACCCTTTTGAACCTTATCCATGAAAGTTTAAATTTGAATTCAAAACCTATTTGGATAACCCACTCTTGATATCTATGTCTATCATATCAACTGATATAGATAGATGATATACTTAGCCTATATATCTGATGCGTTATATGGGATATCGGATAAATTGAATAACGAATGATTTTTTCCATACTGACTCTCTCCCATTAAAATAACGATCAAGCTTTTTGCACTGTGACTTGTGTGGGTGATACTCATATTGTGGTATCACTCCACAGCTGGGTGTTCGTTGTTCGCATTTTTGAAACACGTGATTTACCCACAAGATTCTTCGTTTCAAGTTCTATCACCTAAGGGCGATTGCTCGCATGCGTGAGCCAATCTTGCCTGCTAACATCAATTTATTTATTCTGTGTATGGTAATTCACAAACCATTGCAAAAAGTAGTAAACATAAATGTGAAAATAAAAAATATTTTTCCTAAGGTTATAATTCATTATTTCTGCATTTACATGCTTTTGGTGTTGCATGACTAAGTTTCTAGGGTTGAAATTTTTATTGTAGACTACTGTAAATGTTTATTATTTACTAGTATAATTGTTGCAATTTACTAGATTTTGGAATATTTATTTATGATTTTATGTGGTTTTATTTATTATTTAAAAATTCCAAAAAATTTCAGAAAAATTCCATAAAATTTCAGAATGATGTACTTTATATTATGGCATAATTTGAATTTTAAACACAGCATATTATTTTTTTCCTTTAGGTTTGTAATATGTTGTGATTAGAGAAGCATGCTTAGTTCTTTTTTATTTATTTAAATTTCATTATTAAATGCATATAGCATGAGTTAATTGTAAATTTACATTAAGATGCTATTGTATGGAATTTATCATGCTTTGTACATGCCATAAGTAGTGGGAGGTTTTTTTTTTTTTTTTTTTTTTTGCGCATGGAATTAAATTAAATTTTAATAATTGTCACTAAAGGCGCAAGAGATGATTACGAGTATAGCAAATGTTCGATCTTGAGACGTGTAATATTATCATTATTTAATTTAGATTCTTTTGCTGCAAAATAATTTTTGTGTTGCTATCATTAATATCCCCTGCGCATTTGTTTACTCTGTATGTAGAAATGGCTGCTAATACAGTGGTGGCGGACTTAACTAAGGGAGAGAAATTGGATGGCGACAATTATGACATATGGCGCCGTAAGATCTAATGCCTTCTCACTGAGCAAGAAGTGTTTACCACACTTGAACAAGTGATGATTGAGCCTGAGCAGAGCAATACAACTCAACATCGTCGTGATCTTGAAGTCTTTCAGACTTGGCATAACAAAGATCAGTGTGCGTGCTCTACCATGTTGACAAGCATGCACAATGATTTGATTAGTGAGTTTGAGCATTGCCTGACTGCATTTGAGATGTGGGAAGCTCTTAAGCAAAAGTTTGGTATTACCTCTTTGGCAAAGCTATGTGGGCTGACTATGAAGTTTGACTCCTATCAGAAAATGGCGCATCACTGATGAAGCAGCATTTGAGGGTCATGTCAGCCATGATACGTGAGCTTGAGGCTGCTGGGCACAATTTGACTCAAGAGCAACAAATACAAGCTGTGATTCGCTCTCTGCCAAATTCTTGGAAGCAGATAAAGTAGAACATGATACATAATGAGAGTGTGAAAACATTCGAAGACATATCACGTCATTTGGAGCTAGAGGCTGAGCGCCTTGAGGCGGCTAAGTCTGATGGTTCTGCTATGGCGGTTGAGTCAAGCTCATGTAGGACTTCTCAGTTCAAGCGTAGAAAAGCAAAATGTGCTCCTAAGAAACAAGCAGCAGGTGCGCTAAAGCCCAATGGCGCTACAAATTTCAAACGTAGGGGCAAGAGAGGTGACAAGAAGGTAAAGGTTAAATTGACTTGCTTTAACTGTAACAAAGAAGGACACTTCACCCGGGATTACCCTGAGCAAAAGAAGGTATTCCCTTACTTAATTTCTCGCATTCAATGCTTTGTTTCTAGTTAAGCATTAATTGCTCATTCTCCTCATTTTTGGGTTGTAGACTCCGAAGCAATAGACCACATCGCGAGGGACAGAGTAGGGTTCATTGAGTATCACCGAGTACCTACTGGGAGTAGAAAAGTTTACACGGGGAACAAGTCCAGTGTAGAGGTGCTTGGCATTGGCACATACAAGCTGGAAATGCAACGAGGGCGCACCTTGTATCTTCATGATGTTATTTATGCTCCGGATATTCGGCGAAACTTAGTTCCAGTTATTAGCATGATGAGCCTTGGTTTTAGCTTTAGTTTTGAGAATAATGGTGTTGGCATTTATTTGGGAACAATTTTTTATGGTTTTGGTTATCTTTCAGATGGTTTTTTAGTTTTGGATGTGGATGATTCTAGTTTTAATAAAAATGCCAATGGCTCTGTTTCTAATATTGCATCTTTTTGTGAGAATGATTCTATGAGATGACATGCTAGATTAGGCCACATAGGGCAAGACAAGATGACTAGATTGGCTAGAGAAGGTCTTTTAGGCCCACTCACTAAAGTCACTATGCCTACTTGTGAGCACTGTCTTGCTGGAAAGGCAACGAGGAAACCATTTGGGAAAGCCAAAAGGGCATATATCCCATATAACTTATTCATTCTGATATATGTGGACTAATGAATGTGAAAGCAAGGCATGAGCCCCTTATTTCATCACATTTATAGATGCTTGCACGCATTTTGGCCATGTCTATTTGATTTCTCACAAGTCAGAATCATTGGATTGCTTTAGACGGTATGTTAATGAGGTTGAGAATCAATTAGACAAGAGCATTAAGGCTTTAAGGACTAACCGGGGATGCGAGTATCTATCTGAGCAATTCAAAGTGCTTTGTGAGGAAAAATGAATTATCAGGCAATTGACAATTCCTAGGACTCCACAGCAAAATGGTGTAGCGGAGAGAAGGAATCGCACATTGCTTGACATGGTTAGATCTATGATGGCGCAAGCTAATCTTCTCATTTTTTTTATTGGGGAGATGCTTTGTTGACTGCTGCCTACATCCTTAACCGTGTGCCCTCCAAATCAGTTCCTTCCACCCCATATGAGATGTGGACTAGCAAAAAGCCTGATTTGGGCAATTTGCGGCCTTGGGGTTCGGCAGCTTACATACACAACGCTTCTCAAAAGTTTGGAAAGTTGGGCCCTACAGGAAAGAAGTATATCTTCATTCGCTATAGTGAGCATTCTAAGGGCTATGTGTTTATTGGGGAGCATTCGGATGGAAGTGTGATTGAAATTGAGTCACAAGATGTGGATTTCCTAGAAGAAGATTTCTCTAGTAAAGGTGAGGTAACTAAAGATGTAGAACTCTATAAGATGGAAGATCTACTTGAAGGCGCACCTAGTAGCCTAGTAGAGAATGAGGAGATAATCCCTCAAGCTCCTAGGGAGAGTGGGAGCGATCTACCTGCCCATGGATTAGAACCAACGGATAAGGATTCTCAAGATTCTCAACTACGTAGAAGTAAACGTGGAGCTATACCCCGTCGTCGTTTTGAGATTGAAGGGGAAGCATTCATGATTGCTCCGAGTGATGAGATAGAGCCTAAGAATCTCAAAGAGGCTCTCTCATCCCCTACTAGTAAAGTTTGGAGTGCTACAATGGATAAGTCTATGAAGACAAATCATGTATGGGACTTGGTTGATTTCCCGCTAGGGTGCAAGACTATTGGGAACAAATGGGTTCTCAAAATCAAGCGCAAGGCGGATGGTTCCATAGAAAGGTATAAGGCTCGCCTAGTGGCGAAAGGTTACACCCAACGAGAGGGTGTGGACTCTGAGGAAACTTTTTCACCAGTTGTGAGGTTTGCCTTTATTCGCGTAATTCTGGCCATAGTAGCTCAGTTGGACTTAAAGCTATATCAAATGGGCGTTAAGATTGCATTTCTCAATGGAGAATTGGATGAAGAGATCTATATGGATCAACTAGAAGGCTTTGTGGTAGTAGGTCAGGAGTGCAAAGTTTGTAAGCTTCAACGATCTATTTATGGCTTAAAGAAATCATCCAGACAGTGGAATCTGAGATTTCATCGAGCCATTGTTTCTAATGGGTTTACGATGATCAATGAAGATCACTGTGTGTACGTTAAGCAGTCCGAGGACATTTTTCTAATATTGTCATTATATGTGGATGACATATTATTGGCTGGAAATGACAAGGAGATGATTGTCGCCACTAAAAGGTGGTTGTTCTCTACATTTGAGATGAAAGACATGGGTGAAGCGAGCTATGTGCTCGGTGTTAAGATCCTTAGGGATCGCTCTAGGAGACTTCTTGGTTTGTCTCAAGAGACTTACATTAAGACTATCCTAGAGCGATTCCAGATGCAGAGCGGCAAACCCATTGACACTCCTGTTGCGAAGAGCGAGAGCCTAAGCCTTGATATGGGTCCTAAGACTCCAGAAGAGAATGAAAAGATGGCCCGTGTTCCTTGTGCAAATGTTGTTGGAAGCTTGATGTATGCTATGATGTGTACACGCCCTGACATTTGTTATACAGTCGAATTGGTCAGTCGTTACCAATCCAATCCAGGACCAGCTCATTGAAAAGCAGTTAAGAGGATATTGCGATATCTTAAAGGGACTGCAGATTACACACTTTGCTACCAAAGTTCAGATTTACGTCTAGTTGGCTATTGTGATGCTGATTGGGGAGCAGACTTAGATGAGCGTAAGTCTACTTCAGGATATGCTTTCATACTTAGTGATGGTGCTATTTCTTGGAGTAGTAAGAAGCAATCCTGTATCACCTTATCGACTATGGAGGCTGAGTTTGTGGCTTGTTCATCTGCCGTTCAGGAAGTCGTTTGGTTGAGGAGATTCTTTCCGCATTTGGATATTGTCACACACACTTCAGACCCTGTGACTATCCATTGTGACAGCATGGTTGCACTTGCTTACGCTAAGGATCCTAAATACCACGGGAGAACCAAACACATTGATGTGAGGTTCAACTTTATCAAAGACATTGTGGCACAGAAAGAAGTGATCTTGGAGCACATCTCTACGAGTCGCATGGTTGCGAACCCTTTGACTAAGCCCATTGCTAGAGATGTTTATCGTACTCATGTTAGGGCTTTAGGACTACGTAGGTGGTGATATATGTATGTGTATTCAGTTGAACTCATATTTTTTGGGATATTTATGCCATTAGTATTTATATTTGTTCCTATTACACATTTATGTTTACTACTTTTTGCAATGATTTGTGAATTAGCATACACAAAATAAATAAATTGATGTTAGCAGGCAAGATTGGCTCACTCACACGAGCAATCGCCCTTAGCGCTAGGTAGCGAGTAAGGATGAGACTAGTGGCTTATTGTATTTGGAGCCAATAGAGAAGCTAAAATTATCTACTATCTATGTCGCCTTGGATGGAGCCAAGATGAGGTCTTGTTAGAGACCGACCATGGATATGAGAGTACCCACTTTTTCATGATGTGCCTGTTATGGATAGCTAGAAGCAAGATCTCATTTGATGCCTGAGAGGCGAGCAAATAGAGAATTCGAGTTAGACGCTAGGAAGCGACTTGTGCATTTAAGAGCAACTAGACTAAGATCTGTATGGTGTGTGAGTTTAACATCACTCTTTGGAAGAGTTACTCCACTATAACATGCATTCATACTTACTTTTGGTGGCTCAAGCGAAGCACTAATTTCTTGTCCAAAGGCTGGAAGTTTTGTCAACCATACCACATTTTAGGAATAGAGAGTTGAAAGACAGTGACAAGAAGCAAATGGCAGCACTGATTAACTACTTGTCCATCTCTAAAAGCAGAGTCAACAATCGAATGGCATCATATATTCTCAAGGTTTGCCAGAGAAGAATGTCATGGACCATCATTATGCTCACCCAACTCCTCCAATTAGGGCTAGGTTTTTCCATGATCGTAAAGGAGCAAGACCTTTTCCCAGTTGCGCCAAGCCAGCTTCGACTTGTTCAGAAGGACTTCAGTATCAGGATGGGATAATATTGGGCCGGAAGGTTGAGTTGAAGGTTGGGCCCAAGCTACCTTGAGCACTTGTCAAAGTGTTAAGGATGATATAGGCCTCTTTTGGGTACTTGAGTTTTAACCACGTTTGTGCGTTTGTAGTAAAAATTAAAAGTTGATTTTTTTGTATTTAAAGACATTTGGGGAGTTGGTTTTCAACTATTAGTGAAATTACAATTCTACCCTTCATGGTTCAAAATGTGCTATATGGGTGAAGTTGTAAATATTTTAAATTGAATAAGGGTAATTTGGTCTTTTTATTGTGATTTGACATTATAAATAAATATTAATCAAAAAAGCCAAAAGTAAACTTTTACCAACTTCCCAAATCACTTGTCTAAAAAAGCCAAAAAATCACTTTTTACCATATTCCCAAAGCACCCCATTATCATTGAATTTGTGTCAATTAATGAGTTCCTTAATCTCATGAGGGAAACCACTGCTTGGAATTTCTTCTGGGGATGCAGATGCTTTGGACTTGGTTTTCTTTGGAGCCATGGCTAGGGTTCAGAGTTGATGTAAACCACAGATAAAGCAGGGCCAAAGTGAAGAGGGAGATTTTTGAATTCATCTTTATAATTTTCGATGGGCCTATTAGTTTGGGCTTACGCATTTGTTCAGCCCAATTTGTTGAGGCTTATTGTGTTTTAGGCCTATGCTTCCATTTTGGAATCATTTAATTCAAAACCTACTTACCTTAGAATAATACCATATGTATCAATTAGTATACTAATTAATATATCAATTGATGATGTGACATAATTTAAGATGTTTTTGGTATTTGTAATATGATTAATGAATGGGGTCAATAATAGTGTCATAACTAGTGTTGGTGCACTAATTAGTATACTAATTGGTGCATGTAGCACGACTGTTACCTCAAATAAAGGGGTATTGTTGGTACTAAAATATGTAATTTGGTCTGTCGATAGGGGTACTGATGCGACCAAAGGTTGTGTGTTGATGGCTTGAAATGGAAGGATGCAAGGTGGATAGGTGTCTCAGTGCAAGGATTGCATGTGACTAGACAATGCAAAGCTTAATATGAAGGAAGAGCAGTTATAGATGGTTGAAACAACTGGGCAATTATTCCAAGCAGTAGAAAGAGAACATTTGCAGAGATTAAGGGGGACACATGGCTATAATAGTTGAGGCCAAAGCAAAGGAACAAAAGTAGGAAGTTCGATGAGAGATCATTTGAACCGATTCACAACAAGAAGTAATTTTGGTACTTGTTTGTTTCTATCAATCCACTTACTTTAAAGAACTCATTGAATCTATTAAGGTACAGAACTCAACCACTTTGTTTAATCATTTTTCTTGTTTTTGTGAAGTTTTGGATTTTTTTTTCGATTGACCTCTGTCAATCACACCCAAATCATAATTTTATTAGCATAAATTGACACGCCCAATAGGACATATTCTAATTTGGAATAATGACAAGAATTCAAAGGCAAGATGAACCATAAGCCGACCTTAAGAGGCAACCGATAAACCAAATAATGGCTAATTAAGGCCAGATAAATGGCCAAGGGATGGCCAGTCAAGGCCAAAGAAGTGGCCCTATTTTGTCACTAATTAGAAATTTACTTTTGTAGATTAAGCATGCATTAACAAGACTGATAGTTGAATAGAAACAAGAGTTGATTGCTTAAATGACGAATCTGTTTCATGGCCCAACATCAAAACAAGGCCACGTTGATCATGGAAAGAATGGATCGCAAGGATCGCAAGTTGAGGTGGTTAATATGATTATACCTCCAATAAGGGTACAATAGCCACCAATGGTCTCGTACGGAGGTGAACGAGTGCCATTTTTCTTTTATAGAAATCCAACGTTCAATAAAGAAATCAACTGGGTATTCAAAATTTTACTTTTCTTTTTGTTGCAATTATCAGAAATTATTTTTAAACGAGGTTTTCGTTTGTTTTTAACGGATTTTTTTTATATTATATTTTAGTCAAATTTTTTTATTTTATAAATACATCAAGATTAGATACATTTAAAACATAAAAGGTTTAACTAAAATATGAAAACAAAAAAAAATCACTAAAAACTAACAAAAACCCTAACAAAAATGCACATAGTTTTTTTTTTTTTATTATTATTATTTTTTTTTTGTTGAGAAAATGGGTGATAAATCCATCTAAGGAGGGTACATCTAGTGGATATTTTTTTATTTGTGAGAGGTTCACCTTTGTGAAAATAGTTTAGTGAGAAGTCCTTTTATTTGTTTTGAAAGATATTTTGTTTTCAATTTTACATCTTAATTTATCTGTTGCCTTTTTTTTTATCTGTTGACTTTTTTTTGACTATTTATTCAAATTTATATCTATATGTTCAAATTATTTTTTATCTATTCAAATTTTTTTGACTATCTGTTCTAATTTATATCTATCTATTGAATTTTTTTTCATTATCTGTTTAATTTTTTTCCCTATTTGTTCAAATTCTGTGAGTTTCTCTCTCTATTTTTTAAAATTATATGGGTTTCTCTCTCTAATTTTTTTCTATCTATTGAAATTCTTATGCTAATTTTTCTTATTTGTTGAAATCTATTTTTATCTATTCAATTTTTTGAATGAATAAATAGTTGGTATAATCTAACCCTAGTCAATTTTTATCTATTGAAAATCTAGCAGATAATCAATAAAGTAACACACTACACAAATTTTTACCAATTTGTCAAAATCTTTTTTTATCTGTTGCAATTGTTACCCAAAAGACAACCTACAAAGAGGGTGAATTAGGTTAATATAATTAATAATAATAACCCAATAAAAATTACAACTTGCACAATAGATAATTAATTTCAAGTAGTAGATGAATATCTGTTGATGACAATGCTTAATGAAGAAATTTAACAGTGAGACATGAAATTACAAAAAATAGTTATAGCTGTTAAGTAAAGGGATTAAAGAAGAAAGAGAAACAGATTTATAGTGGTTCAATTTCAACAGAGCCTACATTCACTCCTCAAACTTCACATGAGTTTTTCCACAATCTTCTAACTTCACTGAGTGCTAGCAACCTCTTCACAAATAGAGCAATCATTCACAGATTTTACAAAGACTATACCAAGTCTAAAACCTTGCCCTCTGTAACTAATTCTCAATCACACTCAAAGAGTCAAGAAATATGAGTGTACTAAACTCTTTACAATATTTGAATGATAGGTTTTGCTTTCAGAGAAAGCTTGAAATGAAACTCACTCAAGAAATATTACAAATATTGAGGCTCTGAGTTTATATCAGTAAAACTCTCACAGGTATATATGCTTAAAGCTAAAGCTCACTGTAAATTCTGAAAGGAAAATGAAAATTAGATGAAGAACACTTCAGAGAATAGAGAAAGATGAGAGTGATGATTGATTAGAGAAAGTTTTCTGGTTGTGTTGTTGCTTGTTGTTTCTATTTTGTTGCTTGTTTATTTTTCTTCACCAGAAGCTCTTCTATTTATCAAGAACAAAAACATCGATCGTTAACTGTTGCGTGGGATGAAAAAGATTGAGTAAGATTTTGGTTAAATATTCTCTACTCAAATTTATATTCCCCATATTTGATTTGATGTTGTAGGAGTTGAAAGACGGCCTAATTGATAACAAATATTTTCAAAAATACAGCCATTGCTGTGCAGAGTGGTCGTCCACCCGAATGTTCACCTGAATGTTCTTTTAAGGGCAATTCCTACTATTAAAACTTTAATAGGACTTAAACGTCCAAAAAATCTTAATTATGACTTAAAAGTTCATAAATTAGGACTTGTGTGTAAATATCCCTAGTTTAATATAAGACCCTAATAATTAATACAATACTTATAAGACTTATTTCTCACTATATAAACAACGAAAAATTTATCAATTTTAATTAATGCATTTATTATTTAAATTTATTTTTTCTTTTCTTTTTTTAAGTTGAAACAAATGGATTAATTTTTTTTCCAACAATTTGTCCTACTTATTTATTCATATATAAGAAAATTATTTATCTCTAAATTGTTGAGATATTATTAACAAATTTTAAATTTTATCTTTAAGTCATTAAATATCTAGTCGATACATTTAAAAAAATAAAAGTGAAAAAAAGCAGGTTATTCTGACATGATTAAAAAAATAAAAAATAAATATAGAAGTAAAAAAAAAAAACATATAATCACCTTACATTAAATTAAAATTAGTTAATAAGGAATGAAAGATCAAGAAATCATTTGAAAATAATAAATTCAAATAATTTCTCATTTCTTACACCTAAAATTAAAATCTATCTTTACTTGAATGGAGAAATTATTTGTTGTATGATACTTAAAACATATTTCTCCATCTTTATTATTCTCATTTAAACTATTTTTATTAAATTAAATCTCAAAATTAATTTCTCACCTTCATTAATGGTTAAAATTTTAATTTATTTTTTAATTTCTCACCCCTATTTTGTTCTATTATTATTTATAGCGAAGTATTATTATTTAAACTATCTAATTTTACTTATTCCGTATCTAGTGCTCATATAATTTTATTGACAAAATTGAGGAGTTGGACACTAATACTAATTTAAACACACAATAAAATAAAACAGTTCTAAAGAAAAAAAATATAAATGTAATTTAATTTACCCTATTACATATGAAATTATTATTTATTTTTCATAATTTTTTTAAAATAAAAATGTAATTTCTTGACTCTATTTTTTACCACAACAAGTTTTTGAACTTTTACAAACAAAAAATAAAGTAAAAATTCATCCATTAATGAAGGTGAGAAATTAATTTTAAGATTTAATTTAATAAAAATAGTTCAAATGAGATAAATAAAGATGGAGGAATAGATTTTAAATATTAATTGAGTATTTTATTATTCTCAAATAATTTCTCCATTCGAGCAAAGATTAATTTTAATTTTAGGTGTAAGAAATGACAAATTATTTGAATTATTTATTATTCTCAAATGATTTCTTAGTCTTTCATTCCCTATTAACTAATTTTAATTTGTTATAAGGCGATTATATTTTTTTTACTTCTATCTTTATT